TTTGTCAGTATGGATCTAAGGACCAAATTACCAATGTAAGAGCTTTAACAACTTCTTCACATTGTAGAACATTATATGCATCACAGTGGAAACATGTGGTGCAACTGTAAGTTATTGGGCTTCCATCCAATTGGTTTTAGGTTCAAAACTGATGCTACTCTATCACTGGTCAAGATACTTAATGCAAGACATCTGTCTCTCTGTACACAGGATTACAAATGCATTGATTGATCTATTTTAATTTCTTTCGGTAACCTTTTTAGTAAAAGCACTGCTCTTCTGAGAGCCAAACAACACATTAACATTTATATGATATTTTTAAGTACCTGGTAAAAGAAGCTAGCTACAAAACTAGAAATACTCCGCAAGGAGTGGAAGAGGATTACTTCCCAGGAAGTGGAAGAACGATACTCTTCAGGGAATGGAAGAAGTTGCACACTGTATGATTGATTCTGTATTCAATGAACAGGGGAAAACACATACATAGATATTATGTTATGCTCTCATTATGCAAATCAAAACCTAAAAAATTAAAAGATAAACTTACTGGTAGGACAATAATGCTAGCATCTGGAACCAAATTGAGCTCAGTGAGGGTATGGCCCATGTCACCAGAATCATAGTTTCGCCTAGGATACATTGTTGACATCATAAAGGAACTTCTTAAGTCATCAGACATGATTGTCTGTAATGAAATAAGCATTTGATTTTAAAAAGTAGAATTCAAAAATTTATGTTAGTTTCAATGTTTATGGAGTGTATTTGTGAGCACTGAATTCAAAAAGACTAAAATTAAATTGGCAACTGATGAACCTCTGAAGTACACTTGAAGTTAGCCACGCCTTTTTGGGATATAATTTGTCGGCTTTCATACATTCCTTTAGCCATGGAGTTTAGTAAGTTCCTTGCCATTTTTTTTTATTCTAATCATTTCAATCACCAGCTTTCTTTTTTATGTTTTCATTTATGTTAAACAAGGTAAGGAAAAATACCTCCACTAGAGGTACAATGTATAAATTGTGCCTAGGGTTCACATCTAGGTTGGAGACAGTGGGCTTAAACTAAAAAACGATAGCCTTTATTAATTATGATAATAAAATTTCTTGTACTTGTAATCGGATTATCAATAACAGCTTACCTGTTTAATAAACTCATGCACTTCTGACAATGTTGCTGTTGCCTGGAATCTATTCGTAAAAGTTGAACCATCTGGCAGACGAAACTGTATTCTAGCACTCTCCCTGCAGATCATAGGAGATATCAAGACTACATATCAAGCATCCAAATGCTTTAGATTTTATTAAATATTGGCTAAACTACCAAGAATTACCCTACAGAAATGTGAGCTCCATCTGAACACAATCAGTATAAACTGGAGTAAACTGGATTGGATTTATTAAGTTTAAACACCAAGGACAGCCCACGAAAGTCTAGAAGAAGACTTATTTCCAGTGGGGTCCTTCTGGTGGTGATTGGGCAGTACACCGGGAGACAATACCCTACTCTTTCCAAAGAATGTACTGCATTATTTAACATGCACATGACCCATAAATGCACACAGGACCAATGGCTTAAAAGTCTCATCCGAAAGACGGTGCTCTATTGTAACTTGTATTTCAGCCCTCCAGCTGAAATACAAGGGGAGGCAACAATAGGAATTGAACCGGGGACCTAGATCTCCACAGTTCAGCGCACACACAGTAGCTACCACCAGATTAGCCGACTGAGTTAAGCTGCTCTCCGAGTGCACTATTCCTTCTAAAACTTGTATCCACTTTCCAAACAGTTATCCATATTTAAACTTAATCAATCATAATCTTAATTTTTATTTCCTTTGATGGTTAGCAGTCTGCTGATCTTGTGGAATTCAATGACAATGTTAATTGGCCCGGACCCTAAATTTTTCAAAATTATAAAAAAATTGAAAAAGAAAGAAAATATATTATAATATAAGTCTGGGAGTGCCACTTCCAGCAATTTAGAATTTCCATAACTATAAAATGTTGTACCTCAGCCCCAATCTGGGTGGCCTGAGGTTGTCTAAACCTTCACTCTGTGAAAGTTTCCTGGATTCCTGAATTCCTGGATGAGCCCCTGCTTAAAGACCTGTTCAGACTAACAAATTTTATTTGACAAAAACATGTGATATGCCTAAATATGGTCATGATGACATCACATCATGACCATATATAGGCACATCATGACTATATATGGGCATACAACAGTTTTTTTGTCAAAGAAAATTTGATCATTTGGACAGAACTTAATGACTCACATTCGTCTTCTCTTTCTTTCTAATTCTTCTTCATCTTGTTGTTCTTGTTTCTGGATATTCCTGCTTTCCCGTTTCTGATCCCTCTCTCTCTTCTCAGCCTCAAACCTCGCTTTCTTCTCTAGCTTATCCCGCTCCAGCTGTTCCCGGACCAATTTCCTATGCTGCTGCTCTTCCTTCTTTTCCTTCTTGAGTTCCTCAGCGGCTCTAATGGCTTCCCTCTCCTGGTTTTTCTTCCTCTGTTCTTGCATTGCTTTTCCAACTTCCCTTCTGTCTATTTCTTTCTTCTTTTCAGTCTTAAAAAATGTTCAAAATGAATTTTTAGAAATAAAGATAAACAGTTAAACAAATAAAGCTGAACAAAAATAAATATAAATCAAGTTAATAGCTTTTAAATACTGGCAACAATTAGAATAATGTCTTGGAATAAAAACCCATTTTTCTTGCTAGACAACAGTCGCATATGAATCTTTTATAATCCTTGGAATAAATTAACTAGCAAACATCAACAGTATTTCCATAATAAAAAAAACTTGATATTGTTTTGATTTAGCCAATTTGCTAAATTTAATTGTTGTTTAAAGATGTATTGTCACAAACAAATCATTAAAAATAATTTTTCAAATTAAAAAGCTCATTTTAAAGTAACATAAAAATTATCAACTTGAACATAGAAATTTGTGCATTCAAAAAATGTTTATCCATAATTTTACAGCAAAATATAACAGAAAAACTTCCAGTCACTTTAAGTGTTTTATCATTTTTATTATCATTTTCCAGTATAAAAATCTAGGTAGATATTTTTTATTATGTTTTATTACTAGTATAACCGTAAAATTATTTATTCGTTATTTATTACAGCATTACAACAAAGTAGTTGAGCACTTGCATTCGTCTGTATACGCTTTTCTAAATCAAAAGAAAGGAAAGAAAAAAACAGAATAAATGGTTAAAATGGAAAGGAAAGTAGTAGAAAAGAAAAGTAACACAAATAAATGAAAGTCAAAAGAAAACAA